GGGAGAGAGGGAGGGAGGGAGGGAGGGGTGGGGACGCTGCGACCACAGGCTGAAAGGGTATTCACTGCACGTAAGTGCCCAACGCCACGTAGTCAGAGACCACAGGGGCCTGGGGCAGGGAGCAGATGAAACAGAAGACCCACACCCTGCACTTGGTTGGGGGGGCCTGGCCAGCCTTATTGGCAGACAGCTCATGAAACCCCACACTGAACCCCAAACAGTGTAAAAAAGCTGAAGGGAAGCAAGAAGGCAGACGGTGCAAGTAACGAAAACAGAACAAAAGGAGTGCGTGAGTACCGAGCAGATGCTGAAGGCAGGAACGCCCGGATTCGGTGCTGGCCAACGTGGGGCAGGTAGACCGGACCCCGGACGGTCAGTGGAGCCAGGTGTGGGATGAAAAGGCCAGATGGGAAGGGAGGAGGGAACAAAGACAGGCGGACGGGGCAGACATGCCAAGACAGACAGCCCCCGGGCGCGGCTCGATCCCTGGATGTGGAAGAGGGAAGAATGGGAAGCGAGAGGGGTTAGGGCACCATAGGAAGGGCCATGAAAGCCAAGGACAGAGACAGAATGCAATGCAGTGCAGAGCCACAGGGGCTCTGCAGCAAGGCCCCGGCGAGCTGAAGCATTAAAACCACCAAGCAGCACTTACACAACTGTACAGGAGGTGGATGGAGTGAGGACAGGCTGCAGCCAGCCAGCCAGACCGGAAGCTCTGGAATACTGTGAAAGGAACACGCCCCAGGGTGACAACACCAACACGGGGGCAGAGAGAGGAAGGTGGAAGCAGAAGCCATCGACATGCATTACATAGCAACTGTATGCCAGGGAGTGAGCTACAGATGCTTTAACATATATTCTGTCACCTAACACTAAGAAAAAAAATTATATGAGTTAGCAACACCTGCCCTTTTCAGATACGGAAAGTGGGGTTCAGAGGGCAGATCCACCCAAGGTCACACAGTTAGCACATATTACAGACAAGATGGAACCTTTATCTGCCCAACCCCAAAGCCCATGCTCACTTCACAAATGCTAACCTGCCTGGGGGTCCAGAAGCTGGAAGCCATCTGGGGAAAGACCCAGCAATGCTGACAGCTGACATGAGAAAGTGAGACCCAATAAGAAGAGTCCCTTCCTCTCACCCGAAATGTGACGCCAAAGCTGAAAGGAAGCGGGCAAGGAGGAAGAGTGCACAGGCCCTGGCAGGGAAGTGGGGTGGGGGGCAGGGCTCTACAACTGAAGCCAGGTGACCCCTGGACCTCAGAGCAGCACCAGGAGGCCTGCTGTGTCCTTCCTTCCACCAAGAACACCCAGGCGCGCTGACGTCAAGGGCTGCTCCCCTTCTCACGTCTAGTGGGGCAGAGCAGCGTTGCCCAAACACGAGCAAAAATGCGGAGAGCCGCCTAGTCAACCCCACTAGAACTGGGTAAAATTAACTTGCAAAACACAGCACGGTGTAACTAGCTTTGTGTTCCAACCTTTCTATATCTATTTAATTAAAGGCTCCTGTATAATGTGAACCCAATAGTCAGATTCATTAGAGAGCGAGAACCTAATTCCACAACTGTTTTGCTAATGAAACCGCAGTCTGATTTGGAAGGTAGAGCACACCGTCAGGATGGACTTTCCGCTCCATGAGCATGGAGGGGGCACCCGGGGACAAGGCGGAGCAAGGCCCCGCGGCAGTGGGGACATCCCTGTGGAGGTAAGAGGGCAGGAGGTGCTGCTTGTGCTCAGGGGGGCAGCCAAGGCACCCTTGCCTACCTGAATGAGCCAGTAAGTGCATTCTCAGTCGCAAACTATCCAGGAACCGCTTTCCACAGAGCTCACACCCGTACGTCTTCATTCCGCTGTGCAGCTTCCTGTAGGGAAAGGAAAAGACAGGTTGGTGCTGCTCTGGCTGGACAGAAAACAGGCCTACCCCTGCCTGGGGGCTTTGCAGCTCTCCCTCTGGCAGGTGAACAGGAGGAAGGGACGTGGAGGGAGTGGGAGCTGGAGCTGGGCACTGACGGAGACATATCCCGGGATCCTCAGACTGCCTAAAGTGCCCCTTTCTCCTATGTACCCCTGCAAGGAAGCATCTATTCCTGGTCTTGTCCAGGGGCAAGAAGAACAGGGTGCCACCCACTGCTTCACTCACTGGCGCGCGCGCGCGCACACACACACACACACACACACACAAAATCAGATCCAATTTCAGAGGGCAGAAGGAAGAAGCCCCGGGACAGTCAGACAGACATGATGCTCACGGTCAAACTGGCACAGACTGTGGCTCTGTCACAGCACTGCCCTTGCTGTACTGTGACTGCGGGTGCCCTGCTCCCCGCGAGAGGAGGGCCGCGCCTGCACCGTTACTCTCACGTCCCGGCTCCCACTCCAGTGGGACACAGCAGGCACTGAACGAGCTTATTAATGAGTTGATGTCTTTATGGACACGAGAGGCTTCTCTCTCCAGCTTCCAGATGTTCTCAGAGCCACGGTGACTCCCCAACCCGCACACCCTTCCCCAGAGGCCCAGCTGTATGTCTTTCCTCCACTTCTTGATCCTACTTCACCTTCCAAATCCCCTAATGAGAACCCAGCCCTGACAGACAGAAAGAAAGGCTTCAAGAAACCAGGTAATAGTCTGTAACTGAAAGGTGAGAGCAGTCATTTTTGGTTTTCCAAAGTACTTTCACACACGGTATCTCACTGTATCATCACTGCAGTTCTGAGTGGTGGGTCTGGCACATACGATCACCCCAGGAAGACAGAGGCCCTGTCAACAAGTGACCACAGGCCCAGCCGACAACAGTGCTCTGCCCTGCTCCCAAACCCAGGGCCTGTCCCACCAGACCCCACTGCTCAGTCAGGAGCCAGAAATGGAGCCAACAAGATGCAGGGAAGCAGGCAGGCCAGTGGGAGCTGAGCACTGGGAAGAGGGTCTGTGCACACAAGGCCGGGGCTCTAAGCAGAGCTCTGGCTGGCATGTGGGCTGTCTGGCCAGGAACACGGACTTTCCTCCCACCCGCACTCCTGTTCTCCGGTCCTTACATGCCTCCGCCAAATCCAGGATCCACCTCTATCCACCTCTGCACCTCCCCAACCACCTCCCCAGGGGCCTGGCCCTGAGGAACAGGGTGGGCAATGGCAGCCAAGGGCAGGAGCCAAGGGTGGCGGGGCAGGCAGGAGGATACAAGGCCCCTAGAGACAACACTCTATTGCAATCAGAATGCTGATGTGTTAAGACCACAGTAAAAGGTTGGCGAGCTGCTGGTACTGACATTAGATAAACGTGGGAGGCGAGAGGGAGTGTTACACACTCAAGCCAGCAGCACCGAGATCTGGCCCTTAGGGCCCAGATCATGACAACTAAACTAAGCCACCCACTGCCATCACCTTCCAAATCTCATAGTGTGTCAAAACCAGGTGAGCCCCCAGGTGAGCCTCCTCAGCCCCAGTCTCTGGGCCACAGCGGCCTGAAGACATCATGTGGCGTCCAGTGTGCGTGGCACTGACAGCAGCCACGCCCAGTCCCAAAGCAGAGCTCTTTCTCAATCACGGCTTTGTTTGTTGGCTTTCCCTTTACCTCCTTGCCAAAGACAACAAATGATTTCTCAATCACTCACTCACACACACACACACACACACACACACCCTTGTCTGTGACACTGCAGTGCACCCCACCCCCGTGTTATCTTACTTCTGGCCACGATGATCCACCCCAATTGAGAAATAGTAACAGTACAGAACATTTTAACTGAACATTCTTGACTCTAAATGTATTTCACAATGCTGGGCACTGGGACATGTCTTAACAGCATTCTGGGCAAAGCGTGTTTCTGAAGACAGTAGCCTCCCCTTATCCATGAGGGATACGGCCCAAGGGATGCTGGAACCGCAGATAGTACCAAACCCTGCATAGATTATGTTTTTTCTCTATACATACTTAACTACGATAATGTTTAATTTATAAATTAAGCAAAGTAAGAGATTAACAACTAATAATAAAACAGAACAATTATAACAATATACTGTAATAAAAGTTATGTAAATGGGGTTTCTCCCTTTCAAAATATTTCACCATACTACCCTTCTACTCATGATGGTGTGAGATGACACATCCCTACGTGGTAAGATGAAGTGAGACCAACATTTCAACACAGCATTAGGCTGCTACTGACCTTCTGGAGATGCGTCAGAAGGAGGGTCACCTGCTTTAGGTGACCCTGCATCACCCAGCCATGACGATGTGAATAGTTGGATGCTGGGAGCAGACAATGCTGATGGCTGCGAAAATTCAGTATTTTAGGACCCTGGTTGATTGTGGGTACCCGAAACAGTGGATAAGGGGGAGACCGCTGTATGTACTCAGGCATACGAGTGTGTGTGCAGGCACACGAGAACGCACGTGCATAACCACCGAGTGTTCCTGTCACCTGCAGGTACGGCAGATACCTGATTTCCTAACAGACAGTCCAGAGAGGGGCAAAGCTCTATTCACACGTGGTTCAGCAAGTGAACCTCTTGCCCACATTCATGGTCAGGGCTGGTGGTTGGCAGTATATGAGTTTCAGTGTTATTTATTCTCACCCTTTTCTTCACTAGGGATTGCTTAGTTCCCAGGGGTGCCCACTCCTCAGGAGGTGCTGTCAGGAGGAGCAGGGGCACAAACACCGTTTGGATTTGTTTTCCTACAGGACTCTGAGGACCAGTCTCCAGGTTTCAGCAGCCACCACCAGGATAAACATGTGCCCGCGGACTCCCATCTCTTCTTCCTACGATTCCACACCAAGTTCTTCACCGAGATGAACACTTTCTGGGTAACCTCCCTGCCTTTTCTCTGGATGAGAGCGATCTGCCAGGCAGTTGGTGGAAACGGCTTGCTTGGCCAAGTGCACTGGTGTGGTGTGAAAGGTGACGCTCTAACCCTCTACCACAGAGGTGGCCGAGCACAGGGAAGGCCGCCGGGCGAGTAGCCAGAACACCTGGGCCCTTATCCTCACTCGGCCGTTAACTTGCTTTATAACCCTGGACAAGTCATGCTGTCGTAATCTCTCTGTAGTTTTTCCACCTGTCAAGTGATGTAGGTAATATCTAAGGTTCTGGTCCCTTCTGGAGCCAAAATTTTATTTCTCAAAAGTCTTACCCATATCCTTGTACCTTGCCTCCAAGGGTACTATTTATTCTCTCTGAGCCACGTTTCCACTTGGGCAGTATCCCACGACACCCACGCAGTCAGACTAGGAGAGCCGAAGCAAAAAATTGACACCCAATCTCAGAAATAGGTTCATTTAAAAACATTCTAATACATGACCTGAGTCTCCTCCTTTCCTCACTTGTGGTCTATCTTTCAGTGAAAGAATCTTCCAGAACTCATCACCAAACTCTCTTCTGGTGCCATGCACTCCCCAGCCTTCAGAGACACAGGTGTTCTATCCTGTCCAATCCTTGGAATAAGGACACTGTTGCACCTGACCCACTAACTCAGTGCCCCACACAGGTTACCAGAGGCGTCCACGTGACCCCAGGAGTCCAAGAACCAAGGTCCTTCCCACGGCACAGAGCCCGGGTGAAGCACAGAGTCCAGGAAAGAACTACTCACAGGCCCGGTAGTTAGGTGGCGTCAAGCACGGGCCTGCTCCTACCTGTCATTCGTGTTCAGACAGCAAGGGAAGAAAGCGACAAAGCGGAGCCCTCCCCGGACTGACGGAAAAGGACTTGAGTGCGTTCGGGGGCCTGGCGACCAGCAGGCTCTCTACGGCACAGTCTGCAGAACAGCCGCCGTGGAAGCAGAATTCCAATGGTTTTTGGAGTAAAGTGCGCATTTGTATGAGCTCACGGTCTGTCACTCTCCAGGCTACAACCTCCACCGCCACGACCGCATTAGGCAACTGCAAAGCTCTTGGATTAAAATGGAAATTCTGTCCATCTCCTTCCGCCTTACCACACACGCTCATATTTTCCCAGCCTGGTCCTGTCTTTCCACAAGGTCTAACTGCTCCTGGCCATCTGAAGTCATCAGGGAAGGACAGCAGGGGACATTTCTGCACCTTTCTGAGTGGTTTTCACACTCTCTGCTCAAAGAAGCAGCAACATGGCTGAGCTCCGCTTTGCAAGTAACCCAGTTCCAGCATGGCCCAAGCATCTCCATTCCACACTCCATGGAGGATCTCTCTCCCCCATACGTTCAGGTCCTTGCCATCCACTTTTGGGGAACAGGTTCAAGTTCTCCCCTACACCTAGCTCTACCCCATCGGGTAAAACTCACCTCGAATTTAACAGATTTCACTTCTGTTAAAAAAGACAGGGAAAAAATGAACCACTAACAGGTTTCTAGCTATTTGCTCGAGAGGACTGAATCATTATGAGAAATTGAGGCTAAGCAAGTCTTAACCTTTTAACATGTAACCAGAGAGAAAGACTGTTTCCTTCTCAGATTCTCAGCCACACAAATCTCACCAAGCTAGCAAGTCCACGCTCACCCAAACAGTTGGGTACTACTGTGAGTCTGAAAACGTATAAAGATTTCATCTGCTTTAGCCTGCAAATGATGCAATGGCAGAATATAACATTAATATATAAACAGTACAATGTTTATTTTCCCTTTTCCTCACAGGCGTAGTTTGGAAGGAACTGGTCAATATTGCTGAAGAACTTCCTCTGTCTAAGGTGAGGTGTAAGCATCCCACCTCTCATCCTAACAATATTACAAGTACAAGAGCGTCGTGGGCAGCCTCCACGAGTGCTGCGCTCTGCCCTGTGGCCCCTGAGGTCCACACAGGGAACGCCAATGGCTCTTTCATCGCTGCAGAAAGCCTGAGCTTCAGAGCAATCTCTCGTCCCTGGGGGGTCAGCCTTCCCCTCCCCAGCCGACCTGGAA